CAGCTTGCCCTCTCGGCTCTCAGCTCTCGGCCAAGAGGAATGGGAGTGCCTAGATCTAAGACATCTATCTGGCTCTTGTCTTGTCCCCCAGGCCTGACCATTCATTCAGAGTCTCAACAAACATTTATTACCAGACCTTGCGCGTGGACCATATTTGGGAAGGCACCGCCGCACCCTCCGAATTTACAGGAGGAGACCAGCACTGGACAAGTCATCAAAGGTGCGGTGAGAGCGAGAGAGGAGAATGGCAGGGATCGGACACCCGATCACCAGAAGCCCTCCGCCCTCTGGTCCAAGAGGACAGGCCTCCATCGCCGCTTATCGCCAGACCCGGGAGCCTGCCTCCATCGCACCCTTTTCCCCAAGGTTGGTCCGGGTCTGGATGTCACCAACCCCGGTTCAGACCTACAGACCTCACCACAGTTGAACTTTACAGATTCCCCCTCCTTCCTCACGGTTCGCCGACTCCACAAGCCTTACTGAGCCACGCCAGACACCGTCCTCGAGGCTCTTGCGCGCCCGTGACGTCATTGCCGTGCGCCTCTCCTACACCAAAGGGACTATGGATCTCACACGGCCGCTGCGGATGGTGTGGCTCGCATCTCGGTTACTTCTCGCTCCTCAACGAGGCCTGGTGGTCCGCCGTCCCGACGAGCCCTTGCCCGTGGTGCGCATCCCGCGGGCTCTACAGCGGCGGCAGGAACAGCGGCAGAGCGGGCGGAGCCCCCAGCGGCTGATGTTGGCGCGACCTGGCCCGCTGCTGATCTCAGCGCGGCGGCCAGAGTTGAACCAGCCGGCGCGCCTCACGCTGGGCCGGTGGGAGAGCGCGCCACTAGCTTCGCGTGGCTGGAAAAATCGGCGCTCCCGCCGGGACCACTTCTCCATCGAGCGTGCGCAACACGAGGCGCCGGCTCTTCGGAACCTCTCGTCCAAGAGCAGCTTCGCGGATCTGGGTCTGGAACCTCGCGTGCTGCGTGCTCTACAGGAGGCTGCTCCTGAAGTCGTTCGGCCTACAACCGTGCAGTCAAGCACCATCCCCTCCCTACTTCGCGGCTGCCACATCCTTTGCGCCGCGGAAACCGGCAGTGGCAAGACTCTCGGATACCTACTACCTCTGGTTCAACGGCTCTTGGGCCAACCAAACCTGGACTCCCATAGTCTATCTGCTCCTCGAGGCCTGGTCCTTGTGCCTTCGCGAGAATTAGCCGAACAGGTGCGGGCCGTGGCGCAGCCCTTGGGCAGCTCCTTGGGCCTTCAGGTGCGGGAGCTAGGGGGAGGCCATGGCATGAGTAGGATCCGAATGCAACTGTCCAAACAACCTCCAGTAGATGTACTAGTGGCCACTCCAGGGGCTTTGTGGAAGGCCTTGAAGAGTCAACTAATCAGCCTGAAGCAGCTCTCCTATTTGGTATTGGATGAGGCAGACACGCTTTTGGATGAAAGCTTCCTGGAACTAATGGACTACATCTTGGAGAAGAGCTATATAGCAGAAGGCCCAGCTGACTTAAAAGACCCCTTCAATCCCAAAGCTCAGTTAGTGCTGGTGGGGGCCACATTTCCCGAAGGTGTAGGCCAGCTGCTGAGTAAAGTTGCCAGCCCAGACTCTTTGACCACCATTACCAGCTCCAAGCTCCACTGCATCATGCCTCATGTCAGACAGACATTTATGAGGCTGAAGGGAGCAGAGAAGGTGACTGAATTAGTGCAGATCCTCAAGCAACATGACAAAGTATATAGGACTGGCCCCTCCGGAACTGTTCTAGTGTTTTGTAATAGCTCAAGCACTGTGAACTGGCTGGGATATATTCTGGACGATCACAAAATCCAACACCTAAGGCTGCAGGGACAAATGCCAGCCTCAATGAGGGCCGGTATCTTCCAGTGCTTCCAGAAGGGCTCCCGAGACATTCTTCTCTGCACAGACATAGCCTCTCGGGGCCTGGACAGCTCCCACGTAGACCTAGTTGTCAATTATGATTTCCCCCTCACTCTGCAAGACTACATCCACAGAGCCGGGAGGGTGGGCCGTGTAGGGAGTGAGGTGCCTGGCACTGTCATCAGCTTTGTAACCCATCCCTGGGATGTAAGCCTGGTTCAGAAGATTGAGCTGGCAGCTCGCCGGAGGAGAAGCCTTCCAGGACTAGGGTCCTCAGTGAGAGAGCCTTTGCCCCAGCAAATCTGATGGCAGCCGGCTTAAATATGATGACATTAACAGGGATCCTTCCCTTTGTCCTGGGTGGGTGAGCACACTTATCGTAGGATGCCCTGGGCTGCCCAGTCACCCCCCCTGAAGCCCTGGTGAGCTGCTATCTGGCTTCCAAAGGTAAGATGTGGCCAGATGTAGAGAATGAGCTACTGAGGATGATTCCTTGTGGGCTTTCACATGACTCATGAAAAATAAAGTAGATTTTTGTCTTTGTATTATGTCATAGTTTCTAACAGTAAATGATGTGTTCATTGAATTGTGAGAAGATTCACACTCCAGACTGCCACACCTAGGACAGAGGCTCTTTCAGTTGCTGTTTGAATTAATAAACGTTTAGATTTTATTTCCTGCCCCCCAAAACATCCATTAAGCCCCCAGAGAAGGGAAAGGGGATGTGACTAGCAGTACAGAGATTTTCTTCACCAACAGTGCCCATGGCAAGCTTGGGCATTCTTGGTGAAATCTCTCTGGGAAGTACTGGCAGAAGAATAAAAAACAGGCTGACACAAAAGTATTGCTTGGTGTGCATTTCCAGGCTCTACCTTCTTTCTCATCTCTTCATGGCAGGGGAAGAGAAGAGAAACAAAACTGTTTACAAAATTGGCAAAATAAGCATATAGCTTCCTCTCACTATCACCTAGGTTCCGGCTTCTGCAGCATTATATAAGCCTAAGTAATGAGGAGCAGCTGAGGTCAAATATAATACTGCACAAAACAACTTAAAAATACTTACACACTGAAACAGATAAGGAGGCAGAGAACAGAAATGGACCCATGGCAATCTTTGCCAGAAGACAATGTTGTACTAAATGTATAATCATAGCTCTCTTTTTCATGTGAGGAAACTTGAGGCTCAGAGGGATAAAACACTTTGCTCAAAATCATACGCATAAGTATGATAGAATCTGGTCTGTCTGCACTGGGGGTTGAGTTATTTACCAACTTTTAATAGTGCCCACTTGGACTCTCAAAAGCAACCCAATTTGGACAAAATTTGGTCACTCTGTCCATGAATCAGTGTGGCAAAACTGCCCAGGAGGCTTGTCTAAAGTACAGATTCCAGGGGCCTCTGGCTGACTCAGTCACTAGAGCATGCGACTCTTGATCTCAGGGTTGTGAGTTCAGGCCTCACAATGGACGGAGAGATTACTTAAAAATAGTCTTTTTTTTTTTTTTTTTTTTTTTAAAGTACAGATTCCTGAGCTCAGAACCATTTGTCTATGCCATTCTGCTTTCCCCAGAGACCCAGCCAGGTCCTGATAAGGTATCAGTAACCCCACCAGGTCAGAGTGATGTTCCCAGACAATGATCTCTCTGGAGCCTTGGAGAATCTAAGTGGTCTTATGCTGGCCCACCTGCCAGAATGAACCTCCTCCAGAGCTCTCCCCTTCACATTTTACCTCCTAGCACTCTCTAGGGGCAGACCTGATTTTGTGTGTCCTAACTTGCATCACACTAATTCAAGCAACTTAGGAATAGAAAATGATGTGGTTCTCAACCAGGGTTGCCCAACCTCTAAAATAGTGGTCTAATCATTCTCTACCTCCGGGACATATCTCCTTCCCAACTGCCCCAGGAAACAAGCATCCCATCTTTGCATGTTCGAGGTCGGCAACGGGGGGCCCCCTCACAAAGAAGGTTATCTCTCATTGCTAGGAAGTCCTTGGCTGCACTGTATCAAAGTCAGGCCCAAATATGGTTCCTTCCTATAGGCCTGATCAGGCTAAGGGCAGAGTTATCTATTTACTCCTCCTCTCAGGAGGATCCAGCCAACACAGTAACACCTCTTCACAGTTTGACCACGTTTTTCACCTGGACTTCTCCTAAGCCCATCCTAAGCTTCATCCTTTCATGGTGGTAGTAGCATTGTTAATACAGCATTTGCCTTTTGGGGGGAGAGATGAATGTAATGATTAGGTTGTCATTTTGTGTTATGTCATTTTGTCATGAATTTGTTTTGAATTTTATATTAAAATGGGCCCACTATTCCCACTTTGTGAAGCCATTCAGGACCCTCATTTTGCCTTGGAACACGTTTGATATCTCTCCCAGTGTCACTTTGAAATGTGATGAGCTTGCCCACACATTTCTATCGGGTATAAATCCAGAGCCCAACATGAAGCCCTACCGTCCAGCAGAACACTTCTCCACTACCTGTGGAACCTTGGCTAGGCCCCTTAACCTCCTGGTTTTTTGAGCCCTCGGTTGTAAAAACGTGAGGGGTATGTGAATTTACATTTGGGGCACGACAAGTTCAGTAAGAGCTTGTCTTTGCTTTTATTATTCCCAGCTGGAATGTCTTCCCTCAGCTCTCCATGGGTCCAAATCTAACTTGTCTTTCAGGCCCACTGCCAAGGAGCCTTCCACACAAATTTCTGCCTGTCTGGCTATTGAATACTTAGGGTCAGTACCATACAACCAGGCTGTGTCTTAGGTTAATCTTTCCTCTCAAGCCAATGGCAGAATGTGGGTTTCTCTTGCCCTCTTTTGGTCCCTGGGGCTGTGCCGGCCCATAGGTATGCTCCACGGGGAGTGGCTGGGTGAGGAGAAAGATGGGAGGGCCCAGGCAGAGTGTTCCTCTGCCTCCACTCTGCTCTCCTCCATTAAAACTCAGAGAGCCTAAAAGCTGCCCCTCAAGTCACAGATTCCTTATGTGACCTCACTGGGTAGTGATGACCTCACAGGCCTTTTCACAGTTACCATGACAGGGTAACTACACAAACGTGGTGCTTTCAGGAAAGCTTCCCTACCAGTTCTCTACCAGATACCAGTCTGTTTGGATGCCTGAGAGAGAATGTCTGACCGGATCTTCTATATTCATTCTAATTTGTCCTCTGTCCCCTGGGAGGGCAGCACAGCAGGTGAGCGTAGGCCAGGCATCTGTACAAGAGTCACTGGTGTACACACAACTTCACATGGCTGCCACGTGTTGCTTTGGGGCTTGCCCGCCACACCTCTGAGCTTCTCCAACTGTAAGTAATAGCCCTCAGGGACCTACAGTGTTCCTGCTCATTGCCGAAGACACGTAAAATGTCATCCCTGGGCAACTATTCAGAAAGCTTCTAAACTTCATAATTGTAGCTTTCCCTTTTGGGATACAAGTTGCTTCCATTCTGACACTTTCCTGATCAGCCTCTTAGCAAAAGTCAAGCGAATTTTTGTTGGCAAGTAAGAAATGGAGCAGTTTGAGGAAGAACCGTTGAGGTCCGCTCATGAACCTCCCCTTCAAACCCAGGCACCTTCACCATGCTGTCGTGTAAACATCCACATGGGACCCCTCAAACACACCCCAGACGGAGCTGCTGAGTACTGGGGTAAGGGTGGTGGTGTCATGTGCACGGGCAGAACAAAAGAGCCAAGGAGAGTGATGAAGTGATACCAAGACTGGAGGGTTGATGAAATGGTGTCCCAGGAGGTTGGGTTGATGTGAGCCTAGACTTGCTACCCAGAATCTGTCTTTGAACCTCCTGATCATTCTGCCTTAGTATTTGGCCATTTTCTAATCTAGATAAAAATATTAGAGGGCTAGAGGACAGTGTGGTTGAAACAGGCAGTATGAATGGGGCCCAAGAGGAGTTGCCCAAGAGAAGATGGGAGGGTTTCTTAATCCATTTATTTTAGGTTATTTTTTCCAACACTTGAAAGGTATTTCCATTAAAGCTTCAGAAGTTATAGACCATAGGAATTTCCCCCCTATGGAAGGGAAAGATGGAGGGGATCCTGGTTGCAACTGTTTTCAGGCTCTACTGTTTCCTCTGAGAATGGGGAACAGATTTCCAGGTCTCCTGCTGCTGCCATAAGCTCCAGAGAATCACCTTTGCAGCCATGTTCCTTCTCTAGGGGACTCATTGGGGTGACTGGCCAAGGCTGTGTTTTGAATACCAAGCAGATTAAAGGTCTTCAGCCAGAAACTGGGAGAGACATGAGAGGGTAGGTCCTGGCAGGACACTGTATACAGCAGAAATGACTGATTAGATCTGATTTTCTTTCCAACAGCAGGGGCTCCCTCTTCTCCTACACCTGGTCACTACCATGTCCTCTACCAAGGGTGTGGAGAAACCCAGGTGGGCTGGCATGGGGAGACGTACTGCCTGGTTGGTGGCTACCGGACCTATGGGGATGCTCCTGTGGCCACCCCAGCAAAGACGGAAGCAGAGAAACCAATTCCCAGCCAGGCTCCCAAAAGACGTCGAGCTATGGCAGAGTCAAATAAAGACGTAGGTTGCTCCAGCCCCAAAATTCGGAGATTGAAGCATGGTGGCAGGAGGATGACCCCAAAGAAGCTTGCTGACTGAGCCACTTTACAGGAATGGCAAACATTTAACTGCCTAAGACAGCTAATGCCTCTTCCTGAAGTGACCCCCCACTGCCCACCACTGGAGATTAGAACCTGAGCCATTCTGTCTGAGCCTTCTTCAGCCAGGAGCCTCCTTCCATACTAACTGGCCATGGGCAAGGAGCCATAGAAGCTGAGGTTTGAAATGAAAGCCTGCTCTGAACATCCCAGAGCCAAAACTGGCCTGGAAGAAAACCTGATGTTTCTCCACTCAATCCTGTAGAGTCCCTTCTCGGGAAGAAGAAAGCAAAGTTTGCACTCTTTGAACCAAGGAGGATGCAGGAGCAGAGGGAGGGTTCAGAGTGGCCTTAGCAGGGACTCAGTCCATCAGATGGACTCTTGCCCTGAGTCATTGCCAGCAGTCACCAATTAAACCAAGAGGAGCTGGACTTTTTTAAACCGAAAAAAGCAATCTGGGTCTACCGAGGGAGCCTCTTGTCTGGAGTGGCAGGAGGCAGAATAAGGAAACCCAGGAAGACCCGCTCCCCAGAGCAGGAAGAAAATGGAGAGTTAGGTGGCGCCACCACTGAGGCTCACGCGCTCCTTCATTCCCAGTCCTTCTTAGCCCCAGTGGGATTTCTTACTGTTCAATAAAATGGTTTTCTCTAACATAATTGACTTGAAATCCAGCTTGTCCAAGGCCAGGCCCCAAATCTCCCTTTTCCCTTGAAGTACATTTCCACATGGGGTATCTGGTGCTCTAACACCTTCTGCCTCCAAAAGAGACCCGTGAGTGCAGCTTCTAACTGTGTGGCTACCATAATGACAGCCGTGCAAATTGGGGCAGGACACAGGCAGGTTCTTTAGGAGCCCAAGGGTGGCTGGGTGGTTCAATTGGTTAAACGTCTGATTCTTCATTTCGGCTAAGGTCATCATCTCACAGTTCGTAAGATTGAGCCCTTTGTCGGGCTGCACGCTGACATCAGGGAGCCTGCTTGGGATTCTCTGTCTCCCTCTCTCTCTCAGCCCCTCCCCGGCTCATGCTCTCTCTCTCTCTCTCTCTCTCTCTCTCTGTCTCTCTCTTGCTCTCGCTTTCACTCTTGCTCTCACTCTCGCTCTCTGTCGCTCACTCTCTCTCTCTCTCAAAGTAAATAAATAAACTTTAAAAAATGGTGAGCTTGGGGCGCCTGGGTGGCTCAGTCGGTTAAGCATCCGACTTCGGCTCAGGTCACGATCTCGCAGTCCGTGAGTTCAAGCCCCGCGTCAGGCTCTGGGCTGATGGTTCAGAGCCTGGAGCCTGCTTCCGATTCTGTGTCTCCCTCTCTCTCTGCCCCTTCCCTGTTCATGCTCTGTCTCTCTCTGTCTCAAAAATAAATAAAACATTAAAAAAAAATTTTTAAAAAAATGGTGAGCTTGATGAGAACTTCCCCCTGTTGTGTGTGTGTGTGTGTGTGTGTGTGTGTGTGTAAGGAGATGGGAGGCAGTACTGAGAAGATGTTCTGTGTGTCAATCCACTATCCAATTTACTCAACAAATATTTATTGAGCACCTGCTAGTTGCTTGGAGTATATCAGTGAATAAGATGATTGAAACCCCTCTCTTCAAAATACCCACAAACTAAAGAGACAAGTAAATTTATATAGTTTAAATTATTCCTGCTATAAAGAAAAGTAAAATAGGATATGAGTATAGTGTGATGAGGGGGTGCTAGGTTCCACAAGGTAAGCAGGGAAGGCTTCTTTGAGGAGGTGACAGTGAAGATGTGAGGGAATCCTGTGAAGAGCTGGAAGGAAACTATTTTTGGAGGAGGAAATGGCAAGTGCAAAGACCTTGAGGTAGGAATGAGGCTGGCCTGTTCTAGGACCAATAGAAAGGTCAGTGTGGGCAGAGAAGAAAGAGAAGAAAGAGAAGAAAGAGATGGTTGGAAAAGTAGACATGGGCCAGACCATAGCAGGCCTTGTCAGCCATGTTGAGGAATGTGGATCTGAAGTGTGAGGGGAAATCCTAGGTGGGAGTTGAGCAGAGTGGTGAAATGATCAGATATAGATGCTAAGAAGATCATTCCAACTACTGTGTGCCATGGCAGTGAGGTGCTGGCTGTTACCGATAAATGTCTCTCTCTCAGCAGTTACGGGGACAATTGGTCCTGGGGAGTGGGGGTGAGAGAAGATCATCAGAGAAGAAAGAGCACAGGGTGTGTGTGGGCCTCTGTGCTAGGCCCACCCGCCTCAGCATCCCACATCAAAAGGGGGCACTGTCAGCAGCATGTAGCCCTCAGGCCCAGATGAAGCCACTCACCCTGTGGATGGCACACACACCCTCAAGGGCCACAACAGCGAGGGTCTTGCTCCTCCCTAGACACCCTCAAGGCCAGGAAAGGTCCCGATAACTTAAGGAGTTTCCCTAACCTGGGTTAGAGGAAGGAGGCACAGGCCCTGCCTGGGGCATTCCCACTTTGAGTCTCAACTAACCCACAAAAGACAGCTAATGCCTCTTCCTGCAGCAGCTCCCACTCCCTCCCACTGGAGATTAGAACCTTATGTTGCTGATACTTGGTGTGACTGAGGAAGATTTGCGATCCTAGAGGAGTCAGGTAGGTTGGCAGTTCCCAAACATGAGGCAAACAGATTCACCTGGGGCTCCGAGGAAAACCAGAGATCCCCAGCACCTGTATCAGTCCTACTGAATACATTTTTAGGGTGGGATCTGGACATCTGCAGTTTTACATTTTTCTCATCATCATGATTTCATAGCAAATACAAGTGACCGAGGAACCTGTAAAAGAACACCATGGAATACAATCAGCAAATTCCAAGACAGAAAACTCTAAATGACAAAGGACATGATTTTTTCAACAAATAAATTGCAAGGAAGAAAGAAGAGGAACAACAACAAATGCAATGCAGTTGGCTTTATCTACATTATAATTAAAACAATTATTTAAAAATTAGGCAACCAGGGAAATTTGAACAGAATAGATAATTGATGATATTGAGGAAGTATTGTTGACTCTTTTAGGTGCCATAACGTTATGGTAGTTGTCTTTTTTTTTTTTTTTAATTTTTTTTTCAACGTTTTTATTTTTATTTTTGGGACAGAGAGAGACAGAGCATGAACGGGGGAGGGGCAGAGAGAGAGGGAGACACAGAATCGGAAACAGGCTCCAGGCTCTGAGCCATCAGCCCAGAGCCCGACGCGGGGCTCGAACTCACGGACCGCGAGATCGTGACCTGGCTGAAGTCGGACGCTTAACCGACTGCGCCACCCAGGCGCCCCGGTAGTTGTCTTTTAAAAGAAGCTGTTATCTTTTAGAGATGCAAACTTAAATATGGAAGGACTAAATGTTTGATTTGCCTTAAAAATATTCTGTAGAAGGGGATGAGTAAGGTATAAATGAAACAAAATGGGCCATCCATGATTGTTGAAGCTGGATGATTGGTACATAAGTGTTCAATACACTCTTCTACTTTATGTTTGAAATTACCCTAATAAATAAATTAAATTGAAAGTAACCCTAAGTTTAAAAAGGTGCAGCATCGGGTACAGCCAGATGTTCAGCCAGATTTGGAATCAGTGAGGACTCGGGTGGTCAGCGTCATAGGGTAAACTAGCTGGCGGGAGCCACGGCAGCCAGGCAGAGGAAGGCAGAGTTCCTGCATAAAAACAGGAGGCACGGAGGGCTCTGAGGCAGGGTGTGCCGTATAGCATGTTGTTGCAGATCTGACAGGCCTCAGAGACAAGCACGCTAGGTTGAGCAAAGAGATAGCATGTCTGAGCTTGAGGCTAAACGACAAATCACATATGCCAGATGGTAGATGTTTGTTTGATCAAAGCTGGTTCCCGACACCTGGTGTCCACACAGCCCACCCTTCTGGATGCTTATGTCAGCAGATGTGGTAGACAACTGAAGACTCGTCCAGCCCCCTCACTGCGTATCCCAGTAAGGGGCCAGCTCCAGGGGCTGATCAGTAGTGAATGTCTAGACAAACAGATGATGTTAGGGGCTTAAAGCCCCTCCTGGTGAGAGAGGCAGCAGCTGGAAGTCAAGAAGTCCGTGGAACCCCTATCTGACTTGGCCAGAAGGGCATGATGTGGTCATCTGCCTGTCCAGCTGCTGGTCTCCCTAACTTTCCTCCCCTTCCCCCAGGGTCAAGGAGGGTTATGTCCTAGGGCTAGTAGGCTACTCTCTCTACCACTGCTGGCTTCCCCAGATGGCTTCCTTATGTCCTGTAAGGCCACACTGAAGACAGAGCCAGTCTAGTCCAACTTTGGCGAGCCTGGCAGTGGTGAACAGGAGATGAGTGCCATGTGCAGAAGCAAACAGGACAGACCTTATGAAATGGCTGGCAGTCATTCTCCAAAGTTCTCTTTCTTCAGGGTCTGGAGCACCCACAGAGGAGGAGCCCAAAGAGATAAAAACTCTGAGTAACTCTGGCCTGGGGTCCCAGAGAGCCCTGGAAATCAAAAGGCTAAGTACATTCCTCCACCACAAACTCAGTCCCATTGTCCTCACGAGGTGACCCAAATTCATGAATCCCCCTGCCCAGTGTTCTGGATTTGGATTCAGGGAGGTCTTCCGACAGAGGTATACAGAGGTTAAGAAAGGGCATCTATTAGCTGGGGCAACTGCTTTATACCTGGAGTGGTCACAGATGAAGAACAGAATTAGAGGGATCAAAGCTTGAAAATCTAGGAATAAGGGAATTTTGGTTTCAGGTCTCAGCTCCACCTGCCAGCTTTATCCAGCTGAACCTCATTTTTCCTACCTAGAAAATGAGGCTGGTAAAAACCTACCTTGTGGGCCATTGTTAAGATTTAATGGACTGAAACACATCAAACTGGTAGCACAGTTCTGGACACACAGTAACTTTGACTGCTCTGACCCGTTGTTACTGTTATCACATGCTCTTACTCCCTGAAGGAAGGAAAGGCAGAAGTCTCCTGAGCTCTTCCATGAATGTGGTTGAACATTTGTTGTGTGCAGGTGTGGTACTAGGGGCCAGAATATGGTGGTCATGGCCTCACTGAGTTCACATCCCAGCTTCGTCCAGGCCAGCCACTGCAGACTTCTGTGAGGAGGAGGCAGATGAAGGCGAAGCCCGGGGGGGGGGGGGGGGGGGGGGGGGGGGGGGGGGGGGGGAGAGAAGTTCCAGCAAACCTGAACCAGAGCAATCTGAGAGGCTCATCCATGTTCCTGTTTTTATTTTTAATGTTTATTTATTTTGAGAGAGAGACACAGAGAGAGAGAGAGAGAGAGAGAGAGAGAGAGAGAGAGAGTATGGGGTTAGGAGCAGAGAGAGAGGAGAAAGAGAATTCCAAGCAGGCTCTGCACTGTCAGCATAGAGCCCAACGTGGGACTCGATCCCACAAACCATGAGATCATGACCTGAGCCAA